ATGTTATTGATGATGAGTGGTTTGTGAGGTTGGCAACTTCAAACGATAAAGAGATCCATACATAGCATGATGGGTCAGAAGTTCAGAATTTTCTGCCTAAACGACACGGCATATTGAAAAATGGTACGCAAGTGCATAAAATAATGCCAGGGACTTTAATGCATAATAAAAAATCAAAAGGAGATTCATAATGTATAATGTAGCTTTAAACGCAGGATGAGGTGAAGTCAAATGTCCATACCTTTATCATGATATTGCAACACGCAAACAGAAAATAAGGTGCATTCCACGATAGCTGTGCTATTGTAAAAAATGTTTTAAGATATTTTTAGGAAGTAAACTTTTAAGACTATAAACTTTAAAGTGTAGAGTTAAATATGATTACATATATTCTTATCTCTTATTACGTAAAATTGTAATTAGTTATTGTTTTAAATTTTGATTTTATTTGGTATTTTAACTTTAGAAATTATTGATATAACTTTTATTATATATTCAATAATTTTTTTTTAAATGTTAAACGATATTTTATCACTGTATTCCTATAGTGATTACACATTATTGTCACGAGCTTATTCTCTTTTGGATATTCTCATCTTCAATCAATCTTCATGTAAACAACATAAAGGTAAGAGACACCTATTAAAACCCAAAACAATCTTCTCGGATTCTTATTCACTTCTAAGTACTACAAAAAAAAATGCTATATATTAAAGGTTATTTTAAAAAGTTATAAAAATCTCCATAAATTAACACAATTTAGGATGGTTCTGATAAATGATTTATTTATGAAGATTTTAATTATTTTTTTTAAGAGGTTTAAAACCTACCAAAATTATAATACATTTTTTACTTTCATTCTCCATTTTTTACATCTATTCTCTCCCAAAATTTTACAATTAAATTTTTTTTTCTCAAATTCTAAAAATACAGAGTGTCAATTTCTCCCTCCCTTCATCCCTCTCAAATTTCCCAATATCCTTAGTAAAATTGGGATTTGCATACTATCTATTTTCTTCCTTTCTTCATTCGTCACGCCAATTTTCCCCTTCCTTTATTCCTCGTAAATTTCCCAATCTTGTCACTGCAATGTGAGTTTGAAGACTTTGTTTTTTTTTCTCTTTTCATTTGTCATTGTGTTCGTCATTTGTTATTACGTTTCTCAAAAAGTTCAAGGTGTTCCTCTATTGTTTCTTCCATTTTCACCTTTTCATTACTATCTACCTACTCACTTCCTTCGTGGCTCACATTTCGACCTTCTCCTCATCACTGGGTTGAACTTTTGTAAGTTCATCTGTCATTTTTCTTATTCTAGCAGTTTTGATTGTTTACTACTCTTCATCTCACACCTTTAGTCGATCATGGCTGACCCTAGTACAAGTTGCTTTATTTTCTTAAATGTGTTGCTCCATTCATCTCAACAATTATGGTTTTAAACAAATGTTAGTATCTTTTTCATCTATATAATTTAGGATTATGCTTTTGGTTAGGTTAATTTGTTGAAATTTTGTTTTATTGTTTAATTTTATTATTTTCTGTTTTGTTGAGATAACATTATGTTTGACTATTCATTCATGGAGTGAACTAGAATTAGGAAAAATTTGTGTGATTGGGTTAAGTTCACTCCCAACCACCCAACTCATGCAGTATTCTTATATATATGCGATAGTTAGTTGAAGAGTTTCTAATTAAACTCGAGAGGACCTGAACTATTGGCCACTAGGGGTGGGGGGACGATTGTAGATTGAACAAGGAGTAATGGTGGAAAAAAAAGAAACAGTTCCCAATTTATATATTCATTTCAACTAAAAAAAACCACAAAGCATCTTTAGTCACTCTTTTCCCTTTCTTTTCAAATATTCGTCTTTAACTTAAAAAAATCATGAGTAGATGATGAAACCCGAGTCAATATCACAAAAGTAAATACATTTTATAATCAAACTTAAAAATATTAAAAACATGAGCAAATTAATTAGGAGTTATGTGTGAAGATTAAAACTAAAGGGAAGAGGGGTGGTGGGTTGAGAGTCCAATGTGATTTAGAAGGGAAAAAGAAGGAGAACTCCACATGAGAGAAGAAGATTGACTCTTGTAGCGATGGCAATTTGTTATGGTTATTGTGGCAACAATGACGACAAATTGAGAGAGGATCTCATTGGTTACCAGTAGAGTTGAATTTGGAACGACAAAACCCTACGCGAGGAATGAGAACAACAACGACAACAACGTTGTTGGTTGGGAGCGTTGCAATGACGCTGAGGAGAAAGGAGTGGACACCATAGAAAAAGCTTCAATGACCATGAAGGTAGATGAGAGTCTCGCATAAGGTGAATAAGACGAGGGAGAAAAAGCTTATGACAAGGAAGTTTAAATCGTGCAGATGCTACATGGGAGCATTGTTTGACATGTTACAGAAAGTTTAACGTTGTTGAGCATAATGAAATATATCCAATCATTTGTAAAGTTAGGAGATCAAACAAAATCAAAGTTTTGAAAAAGAACCAATTCTAATTTTGCATTATATCTAAAAGCTCAAAAACATATTTAACCTAATTAAATATTAATTGGTGGATTGATAGCTCTGAATATTTGTCTTCATTTTGCTTTTTGTCCTAACTCTTTCTTTAATTAAATTTGGAAATTATCTATACAAGATACTTTGATGTTAAAGTCAACAAAATATTAGTGTATTAAATGTCATCATCTACCTTTTTACTACAAACTTGTATTTATAAATTTTAAAGAGTTTTGAATTAACAACATCCTAATTACGACTCACTTGTTAATAATAGTTTATTAGTAAGTTAATTAATATTAAATCTAATTGTTTTGAAGGGTGACCGTTCAATATTTAATTTATTATAGTTTAGTCACGAGAAGATAAGTGTAGTTGTTGTTGTGTGCCTACCAGGAATGTTTCATTAATATTAGACCAAAAGTCTTACAATATAATTAATTTTGTTTATTAACATGATTTTATAAATTTAGATGTTTCAATTTAAAGTGAAAGATGAAAGTAACTATATATATTTTAATTATTTTGTATGGCGGGATAAATTATTTCTATCTAGTACACTTTCATTTATTCTAATTCATCATTCTCTTCTTTAATAAAATAAAACACTATACACTTGTATAGATTTATTGCTTTTGTTGAGGATTGAATGGGTCTCTTTCTATCGTTGTTGTGAATAGTAAAACATAAATGATAGTCAAATAAATATAACATAGTTGTTGTTGACTGTATAATTATATTAGAATAATTACCGTTATGAGTCAAACTGCTGAAACTTTTGATTTTAAATATTATTATGTTTTAATTTAAAGATGACAGCATTTGCTGATTTTTTTTTTCATTTCAATTTTTTATTGTGTGGGTATTGTACGGATATTTGTTTCGTTCTTGTATTTTAAGTTTAATGTTTTTAATATTTTTTTTAGAGTTGGTATTTATGCTTAGCGTTAAAAATTAAAATATATAAAATTCATCATTTAATAAAAAATTATATAGAGAATCAAGTTCTCTTTATTTACACAGCCATTCTCACTCCTTTTTTTCGACTTAATTTGTAGAATAGATTTTAATTCTTTACTATTTAAAAATTATAATAGGTACTTTGTATTGTTTTCTAAATAATTCAGTTAGTTACTTATATTATTTTATAAGACAAATTCGAATTAGGCCCTCTATTTTTAAAAACATGTTTTTAAAAAATATAACATCTTCTTTCTAGATGTAACTTAAATTTTAATTCACTTGAGTTAGGTTTTGAAAACATATTTTTTCAATTTTTAAACTAATACTATATTGTCATAAACGTAATTTGTGTACAAAGAGTTAAATATTTGAGAAATAACAAATAAATTAGACTTACATTTAATAAGCATGGTGACTAACTTTTATACAACTTTAAAACCAATAAGTTGTGTCAACATATAACAATTTTGGTGAAAAGTTGAAGTCATCACAACTTGAAATAACATACTAAAATGAATTAAAGTCATGTCATGTCATATTGTGACAATATCAGCTCTGTATAAAAATGAATTAAAGTTGTGTTATATTGTGACGACCTCAGTTCCATATGGAATAAATTGAAGTCATGCCTTCTCGTTGTAACCACTTCAATTATGTCATAATTTCAACCTTTAGTTTCTTGTGTATTTTAATAGTTATTATTTTTATTTTTACAGTTAAATAATAAAAAAAATCAACATTTATTTTTGAAAGACTACATAGTTTGTTACATCTAGGGAAAGAAATTATTTATAGGACATATATCCATATAAGTCATTTACTGAGACAACTGCCAACATATAAAGTAAAATTTGATCACTTGTAAAAGTATCCATGATTATAAAATGTACCTTGTTTACTTCATTTTCAATACATTTAACTTTTTCTTATAAACTCCCAATTAATAGTATTTAATAAAATTAGAAACTACTTTTTTACCTCAATTTAATATCTATTTCTTACTTTATTATGTTAATTCATTCAATGAATTTTTATGTAGAGTAAAAAAGTTATTTTTATTTAACTAAAATTAAGAAGTATAACATGGTGTGAAACACAATGCTAAGGATTGATAAAAATTGAAGTTATCTGGAGTCGTCACAGTATAAAACGATTTTAGTTTATTCCATACAAAACTAAAGTCGTCACACTATGATTCAATTTTAATTAATTCCATACATAACTGAAATTATCACAACATGGCATTACGATTTTGGTTTATTAAGAGTGAAGTTGTTTCAATTTGACATGATTTGTCAATTCTAAATATTTTTAAAACTTTACACAATTATTGTAATTTTAAGATAATTGATTAAAAAGCCATGATTTCTATTGCTTACACAATCTTTATGTTTCACAAGTTATATTAAATAAGAGATTTACATTTCTATATAAGTTTTGGTAACTAACTAAAGAGTAATCAATTGCTTCTACAAATAACATATGCTTCTTGTTTTTTTGCGAGCCATCAATCATGTATCCACTGAGGTTTTCAAGAAGAAATGAAAACGTGGAATAAAAGCAAAAATTACAATAAACACGAAAAATGGTTATTAACTAATATAGACTTGAGTTGTTATTTCTATTCTGAATGAGTATGTTGATCATCAATCTTTGCAGTTGAATCAGAAGCCTCAGATGCACATGCTTCAGATGTGTCAGAATCACAATCTATATGTTAATCAATGTAATTGAACAACAAGAGTTAGTGTTACAAAACCATAAAGAAAAACATGTATACAATTAGCAACATAAACAAACATATTTAAAAAAAAAAAAAACTAAAAGAAGTGACATACCAAAAAGAGACTTAACAGATGGCTTCTTTACTTTAGAAGTTTTCTTTCTTAATTCAGCTGCCAAAGAAAGGAAAGAAAAGAAAAAAAAATTACTTTTTTATTTAATTTTCAATATGAACAATTTTTGTGTTGTACAATGGTTATTGGAAAGTCATATAACTTCATTGGTGTGAACTATTATTTATATAAAATTGCAATATTTCGTACAGAAGAAAAATTGAATGAGCAATTGGCTTAACTTGGTGGTGATCTCAAGTTGTGGATATGACACTTATGACTGATTTACTTATATTTGTTATTAAAGTACTAAATAAAATATTGAGTTTTTTAGGTTTACATTAAAAGAAAAAGGAAGAGTACACAAGAAATATTAAAGGAAGAAAAGTTTTTTAAAATAAAGTTCTCTCGTTTAATTAAAAAGGAAACAAGAGGAATGAGTTCAAATTTTTCTTCTTTCACAACAAGTTTAATGAAAATCATTGTTATTTTTCTTTACAATAAAGTTGAACTGAGATTAATTCTTTAAAATTAATACAAGACTTCTCTTACCCAAAAATACCACGACTTAATCTCAACATCTAGCAAAAGTTAAATGTGTACATTTTAAAATTTTAACACATAACCGTGAATAATATTTTCATTTATATTAGATTTTTTAAACTTTATAACATATTTCTCACCATTATTAATCTTTAATTTATTAAGTGAAATATTTAAATAAGAAACAGAAAAAATATAATCAATGTCGTCTTAAAGTAGATATGAAACAAAAATTAATTTCAGAAGTAGATATGAAACAAAATAAAAGCAAAATCTTCTAAGGAACATTATTTACATTCAAAACGAAATGAGCAAAAAGTTACGTACTCATCCCAGGAACTTGATAATCGTTGACAATTTCAAAGTTTTTGTATGTGTATCCCACAAAATTCAAGTCTTTAGATGAAAGCATCTGTACCATCACATATAATAAGTCAAATAAGGATTAGAACAGAAAAATGTGTAAGATAAATTAAGAAATAAAAAATTGTAAACACCATCATTCAAGAACTATACACAAGGCAAGAAATAAATACCAGAATATGGATAAATTTTTCCAAGAAAGTGAGAGAATACATTTGACTTAGATAATTATACACAGTTGATAAGCTTTAAAGTTTGTTTTCATATTATTAAAAAATCTATATAACTTTTTCAAAAACACATATATTCTTTTATCAATGAGGTATGTAGTATTTAGACTTAATTTGCATAATAATTTCTAAGAGAACTTCATGAAAAATGTAAAACAGAGTAAAATCTTGGATTACCTTTCTCCATGGACCGCCAGTTCTTGATGCTGATTGAGTCTGGTGGTCAGACTGCAAAAGTGATAAAGGTAAAATGAGAATATTTCTTTTTACAAATGTGAATAATCTTAAACAAATTGCAACACAAAATAAGCAATAATTTGAAAAATGTAAATACCTCATCAAACTTTTCAAAATTTTGAGTGTCTAACTCATCGTTGACCTCAGGAATAAATGCAGCTTCCATTTGATACAATCTTTCCCACTCAACACCATTGAAAAATGGATGAGCCTAAAGAAAAAATGCAGTAGAAAGGTAATGTTTATATTAAAAAGTCTACACAAGATATTTAAGAATGTAGAAAAGGACACACCATACAACACCTTTATTTCATCTGCACCATTTGAGCCCAGTCTCTGGTTCACATTACATAAAAGCTTACTGATAAGATCTTTAGCCTCCACAGATAACCTTGCTTCTTCAGGAAACTTTAAATGAGATTTCCAATTTACTATCTACATAAAATAGAGAGTTAATTAGATAAATGTATTGAGCAATACAAAATATAAAACTGTTTGAACTATCATGTTCATAGTAAAAATGGCTAAAGCTAATCAAATGAAAAACATTACAGTAGTCTTAGCTTGTAGTTATTTTTATAATGAATGTTACCTTTCTACATGTTGACATTGGATCGTCAGAATAAAAAGGCGGATATCCCACCAACATTTCATACATAATAGCACCAAGTGACCACCTGGGAATTTTATCATGACAAACTGTATCAGAATAAAACATCTAACTCATCAAATATACAAGAACGTCTAGAGTAAACTGTGTTACTTGAAACATGTCTTGAAAGAATCACTACTACTGAATGAAACACAAGTATGCTTCCGTATTAGGTGTGTCATAAAAGCAAAATGAAATTAATTTGAATCTTATCATTCACAAGCATAGAACCTACCAATCACATTCCATCCCGTAGCCTTTCTTTAATAGAACTTCTGGAGCAATATAGTCTGGTGTACCGACAGTAGAATAAGCCTGCAACATTCATACATTCACATTTGCAAGCACACACACACACAAGAAAATCCACATAGTAGTTTTGAACTTACAAGTGTCCTCCTATTCTTTTGCCAGTGTTGCAATTGTTCTTGTTGTGTGCGTCCAGATTCATCACTTTGAGGAAATCCATTTGCATTTTGACCAGCAGAAAAATCCGTTTCTTCAAGTGTACTACAGTCTAATGGTTTACATAACCCAAAATCTGACAGTCTCAAGTGTCCATATTTATCAAGTAATAAATTATCAGGCTTAATATCCCTGCAATGTGCCATATTATGAAGATTAGTTTATATGATGTACAATCAACAAAAGTTATATTATAATTTTAGCTATCACAACAATACTTACTTCTAATAATGAGTTTTGTAGATCAATTTATTTTAGGCTTATTGCCACCTTAGTCTACATGGTATAATCAACTATAACATACTGCAGAAAGCAAGACTGATATCTGGTAGACAACCAATTTCATAGATACCTATGTATATAATTGTGTTTATGTATTGATTCAATGGCTAGAACTGTTTCTCCCACATAAAATCTGGCTTCATCTTCGGTCAAGGTATCCTTTCTCATTAGTAGAGTCATCATATCCCCGCCAGGTAGATACTCCATAATAAGATATAAATACTCCTCATCTTGGAAAGAACAATAAAGTTTAACTATGCAATTGCTGTCAACCTCTGCAAGGAGATTCCTCTCAGCTCTGACATGTTCTACCTGAAATAGTTAGCTGAGTTAAAGTGTGATAACATTAGCCTTTAACATGAAAATTACTCTCTGTAAAATAATACATGTAGCTTGGTAAATGATTGTAAACCTGGCCTCTGCGAAGCATCTCTGATTTCTTTAGCTTTTTCATTGCAAATACATGATCTGTAGTCTTTTCCTTACAAACTCTGACCTAAAACAATTTCAAATTGTAGGTAAAAGTAGAACCACTGATGGACAGAAGCATAAATAGATTTAAAAGCTAAGAAAACAGGTAGAAATCACATTAACTTGTATCATATATAAGAAGCACAAACATACCTCCCCAAATGCACCTTTTCCAATCATGGTCAATAACTCAAAATCATCTACACCCATCTTGTGCCTTTGAAGACGCATATATTCAGTTTCCTTTTTCTCTAAAAATTTAAGTAGGTTATTTTGATCTTCCTCAGATACATCAGCATCTGCCAACTTCTTTTCCAAGATGGTTCGACTGACACATGTAAGGTATTAGATATGTTTTCAACATATTTGTTAATCCAACGATCATAACTCAGATTAATACTGAAACATACACAATAAGTTGGATAGTTTTAACACAATTTAACTAAACAGTTAGAAAAACCTGTAGTCATGGTTCAAGAAATCTCAACTTGCACTCCAAAGAAAATTCTGCCACAATAATAGTTTATACAGTTCCACTTACTCACTAGGATTGCATGGTTACACTGTGTTGTATTAAGAACCACTAACCTAAGATTTGGTGAAACATTCAAATTTATATATAGATCATAAATAAAGATCATCTCCACCAAATTTGAGTCAAACAATAAATTACATATTTTGGAACATTCTTGATTCTTCATCCTATTCACATATTTTCTTATTCAAACTTGCACCCCTATTTCATATCAACAAGGGTAGTTCTTCCAATGTTCTTAGAAAATTCTAGCTAAACTAGGAACACCAATTGATATAATATCTTTTGTTGCACTGCAACTAGTTTACTAAGTAAGCTATAATGCATTAATGGGAAAAAAACAACATTTATTCTAATAAAGAGTAGATAACAGAATACGCATTCATTTGAAAATCAAACTAACAAGAAAATAAGTAATGGACTATTCATATCAAGGGAATGTAACGTACCGTTCTTTCCTTTCTTGAAGGTTCTTCATCTGTTCCTTATAGTGGTTTTCAATGTATTGTTTAGCTGCTGCAACCTTCTGCTTTGTGATATTGGAAAGAGCTGCTTCGTCCAGAGGCCCGTTTGGAGCTTCATTCCCACCATGAGTATCGTCTTTCTTTCTAGTTGAGGCTCTTAATTTATCTCGTGGTTGAAATTTCTGTAACCAACTCCTAGCAGAATCCATTTCGCTCACCAATCACAGTTTCAACCACTACCAACAACAACCATCACTCCCTTCGCAATAACTTTCAATTCAACAAATTTCAACTATGATAACCCTGCGAATCATTTTCATATTAAATATCGAAACAACAAAAAAGTAAAAAAAAAAAAATAGTTCTAATTGACTTGGCGAACACGCAAGAGTTTCTGATCGTACCTTAAATTGAAGCTTTTCGGAAGGTACAAACGTAAGAAAAACAAATAACGCAGCGGAGTGAAACAATAATTGATGGATTAAAAGATTGAGATTGTGAAAAAGTTGAATTTGTGGGAAGAAGCTGACAATTCGGATTACCATCTAATTAATAGTTATAATTATGTAAAACTGGCAAGAGAGAGAATCCAATAATGTCGGGTACAACATTATGGGTATGACTTGGCTCATGAAAAACCTTTATTCACTCAACTCTCTCTTTAAATACTATATATATTTTTGTATATAACATATAAAATATATCTAACTCAAATAATTAAACAAAATAGTGGGGAGTGAGAAGATAAAAAAAGTGTGAACATCATGGGCCACGCCGTGTTACCAAAATGGCCCATAACCAATAAAAAGGGCATGTAACCTAAATGAAAGGCCCATTCTCGTTGAAACAAAGCACTTGTGTAGACAAGAAAACCTTATAACCCTTTCCCTCGCCTCCGTCGCAGTTTTCTCTTACGTTCGGCTGAGTCTATCCCTGTTGCTGTTCTTTTTCGATCAGGTATGTTTCTGATAACCCCAGACTCATTATTGTTTCCAATTTCTGATATCAACACGTTATCTGTTTCTAGCTTTATTGTTATCTTATTCGGTTTTCGCAGTGAGAAGTTATCAGTGATAATGTATCTTCAGTTTTACATAAACGAGAATGGTGACAAAGTCTACACCACTAAGGTAAGTTTTGTGTATGGTTCTGTAGTTTACATCTATTAATGATTCAGTAATGGAATTAGAAGATTTATTCTTTGTTTTTCTTTAGCCCTCTTGACTCAATTTGAAATTACTTATTGAAAGGCTCTTTCAGCCCTTGCTCAATTTGACGCACTGGTTCTTTTCCTACGTTTTAATTTCTTCGTATTAGGATTTCCTGTAATGTAATTGCATCTTCACGAATTTCCTTCGCGCTGGTTCTTTAATTGTATCTTGGTGGTTATCAGTGTTTTGAAGTGAGTTGTTTTTCTTCTTTGCAGAAAGAGTCGCCGCTAGGGCTAGCTACACAATCTGCGCATCCAGGTATTTTGCTCTGTTTACTACTGTTTTTGACCTATACATGTGAGGTCTTTCAAATATGTTATATTACTTGTTCGTGGATTTTAAAGAAAACCTTTTGTCCCTCTCTCTGTCCAATTTCTGCGTTAACACTAAAATGCACTGTGGATTATAGTTACTGTTTGTATTTTTTTTATTTCTCTTCTAGTTGCGTAGATAATTTTCTGAAACGGTCATCTCTTGTTCTTGCATTGTTTGGTGGCTAGAATTCTTTTGGATTAATGGCAGTTTGTGTTTTAATTTTTAGAGGATTTGCTTTGTCAATGACGACGGAAAAAGGGTTTTAGCATTGCATTCAATCTGTGGTTCTGTGGAATTTATGGTTGGAAATAAAATTCTTTTAGATTTTTCTCTGGCAGGCAGTCTTCTTTCGAGTTTATTTGTGAAATTGGGTTCAAGAGTTTTATTGGTTGTGTGGTAATAGCCACTGTCAGTGTCAAATTCTTTAGAGAGATTGGCATGCTTTGGTGCTTGTTCTTGATCTTTGTTTTCTTTTTGTACCCTTTTCACCTTTTGGTCTTTATTCCATCGAGGATTTTTGGTCTTTATTCCATCGAGGATTTCATTATTTGTAAGTGAAAAAGTAACATCATCAGCCTCATCGTTTTTCCGTAAGTGCCGAGTCAGTTTCATCTTGACGTGCATGTTATATGTAACATTGGATGAAAGTCATTGACTGAGAAACATTATCAATGTGGCTGTCTGGTTAAGAACTTCTATAGTGTAGAACTTAGTTGCTTGGGGCTAATTTACTGCAAGAAAATGTTTTTTATTTTGATTTATTGTTTTTCATTTTAATTAAAAAGTCAGTACTTTGTTTTCTATTTTCAGCAGTTAAATAACTTATTATTTTCATTGCTCCCTGTATAATATTTTAAAGATCTACTTTTTGCACAGTTTGGATTTTGTCATTGGAATAAGGCAGATTTGTCACTGCTAATTGAGAAAAACTTTCCTCGTTTTCATATCTGCCAAATACTGTCAAATGTTATTTTTAATTTGTTCCATTTTCTGTACTTGTTATGATTTTAATGGTTTTCCCAAAATGCAGCCCGGTTTTCACCCGATGATAAATATTCGAGGCAGAGAGTTACTCTGAAGAAGCGTTTTGGATTGTTACCAACCCAGCAGCCACCTCCAAAGTACTGAGTGATTTTGAAGTTCCAATTTTTTAAGTGTCTTTCCTATGATTAGCAGTGTTTTTGTGAACTAGTGTAGTGCCGATACATGAGGCCAAGTGATTGAGCCATATATATTGTGTTATGAACGAATTACGTAAAATCTGGCTCACGTATTAGAATGAAGTGACCTGATGTTGAAATGCATTTTGAGTTGTGTTGCAGTCAATATAATGTTGTAAAACAAATCATGTCTCCATGCATGGGGTGATTGCCAGCTCTCAAAACAAGATAAGTGCAGCTAAACCAGCTACATGAATCTATTAAGAATGAGATATTTTTATCTGCTCAAATATAATTTACACGTTTTTTCCTTTTCCGAACTAAGGAAACATACGAGAAAGAAGCGAGTTAATATTAACATGACTAAATTAGTATTTCGACTTTTATATATAGATTTATGATGTACTTTAGTTTCTATATTTTTTTTTAGATTTAATTGAGTTTCAATATTTGTTAAATATAATCAACTTAATGTCTTTCATTAAATCTTCTATTAAATTGGTTATCTTTTATTTTGAAATTTTTCTAGTTTTTCTTTTCTTTTCACCCTTCATTTTCTTCATAGCTCACCATCTTCTGTTACATTTAAGTTCTCACTCACCACTTTCTATTACATTTAAGTTCTTCAGAATTAAACGCCAATATTGAAACAAAGTTATCAAGATAATTCCTGCACTAGCAACATACTCATAATAATGAAACTGATGGAAACATAACAAGCAAGCTATGCCCAAAAACGATGACATTTTAATTATTATGATTTGATTTGATTTGATTTGGGATTTTTCTCTCAAGTTCATGTTTGGGAGGAAGGTGAATGAAGACAGTAGATGGAGGGGAGAAAAAAAAATACTAAGATATAATTATTAGCGAAGCTTATTAACAATGATAATTTTAATATAATGTATGACAGAACACTAAGGCATCAAGTGTGATGGAGTATTTGTGAGGTCATGAGTAACCGAGTAGTTGAGACTAAAATATAGTTAACAGTTGATGTTGAATACTTTAGGTTGAACATTTGAGACCAAGTGTGGCGGAGTGTCTGTGAGGCCATGGATGATCGAGTAGTTGAGGCCAAGGTATGACCGAACAATTGACACCAAGTGTGACCAAGTACCTGTGAGACCATGGTGGGGGAGCAGTTGAGGCCAAGGTAGGGCCGAAAAATTGAAATCGAACACTTTAGGCCGAATAGTTGAGATCAAGTGTGGCTGAGTATCTGTGAGGCCATAGGTGACCGTGTGAGGTCATAAATGACCGAATATTTGTGAGGCCATAGGAATGACCGAACAATTGAGACCAAGTGTGATCGAATACTTGTGAGGCCATGGGTGACCGAGCAGTTGAGGTCAAGGTATGATAGAACAATTTAGGTCGAACACTTGAGACCAAGTTTGATAAAGTGGTTTGAGCAAGCTGATGTTGAACAAAAATATTGAGGTTGAACGATTGGACAATTGAGGTCTTCCAAAGTACCACTCACTAGTTCCTTGTGGCTACAGTGGGGGATACTCGTTCAACCCCATAGTGGACGCCAAAATGTTTCGGGTACAAGTTTGAGGTTCCTTACTCAAAGCAATTCAAGTTGTTTTGAAGACCGGATGAGCTCCCTAATGGTCCTCCATCATCCAAGTTATGTTGTTTCCTCTCTCTCTTTCTTGTCCAAGCCGTGCCAAAGGTACTCTAATACTCAAGTCAGTAATATGACTGATCAGTTAGCACAACAAGTAGTACATATTATGTGCATTCTTCCCCTCTAAGTCATACCTGAGACCTTTATTTATAATAATTATGATGGATCTTTACCTTTCGTTGGTCTAATAATGACTAAATCATACCTTAATTTACATTAGGAGTCTAATGAGTCATTACCACCGATAATTTGACCATACATTTATTTAGATTTATTTTTATAATAGATATAATTTGTTTATTTTTGTTTTGCATTATTTTTTTTTTCTTTTTAATACATTTTTAGTTGATTAAAAATTGTTAATAAACATTTAGATATCAATACTGAGTGTCAAAATTTACAATGATGCCTGACTTGTACGTCACTCAAGTGTTTGGTATTAATCTCGTTCCTTAATTTCTTTTATCCATTGAGAGAAAAAAATGTGACATGACTTTTCTCACTTTTATTATAAAGAAATTTGATATATGTAACTTTTTATTTTCATAAAGATTTGCTTTTGAAGGACTATTTTTTTCAAGATTCATGTTGTTTACCACGTCATACTCGACCATAGACCACAAGTCAAAATAATTAAAATTTAAAAATTAAAGAATTAAAATGAATTTTTATAGTAAAACACGATTAACCATTAAATTTTTAAAATTACTCGTTCTTTTCTCCATTTCTTCTTGTTATTATATTGAAAAGTATTTATCTTATCTATATGCAAACTGACGTATCTTCTGAAAAAACACGAGACATTTTTTTTTTACTTAATTATAGTTTTGGTTTATATTTTTATAAAATTTACATGTTTTTAAAATCTTAGTCATTTAACTTCAAATAATTTATAATTTTATTAAAATTAATTTAAAATGATGTTAAATTACAATCAAATTATAAGATAAGTCACGACTATCAC